GGAGGGGGGGGAAGGAAAGGTTGGGGTTTTTTATGTTTACTGACATTGTTACAATTCACCCCTACTGTCTCTGGCCCTGATTGACTCACTGACTCCCAGACTCACTGCCCTGACTCCAAGTTTGATTTCACTAACTCACTGTCACTATCCATGTCTCTCTGACTCCCTGACTCACTGACTTACTGTCCCTGGCCCTCACTGACTCCCTGACCCTGATTGACTCACTGATTCCCATCCGCCGTCCTTGACTCAAAGTTTGATCTCACTAACACACAGACTAACTAATCCCACTGACTAACTAACTCACTGACTCACTGACTCACAGACTAATTAACTCACAGACTAACTAACTCACAGACTAACTAACTCACAGACTAAATAACTCACTGACTAACTAACTCACAGACTAACTAACTCACAGATTAACTAACTCACTGACTCACTGACTCACAGACTCACTGACTCACTGACTCACAGACTAACTAACTCACTGACTCACTGACTCACAGACTCACTGACTCACTAACTCACAAACTCACTGACTCACATCCATCTTCCATGACTCAAAGTTTGATCTCACTGACTCACTGATTCTCTGACTCTCTGACTTACTGACTCACTGACTCACTGACTCCTTGACCCACATCTACCGTTCCTGACTCCAAGTTTGATCTCACTGAAGACAGGCCCACCAGCACTCCATGTATGGGGCCAAACACCAGTGGATCATCCTGGGCACCTACGACCCTGACTGGTGGACCGTGGAGGATGACTCCATACCCTGCTCACCCCAACAGCTCAACCACACCCTCCACGGTTACTTAGCAACGGACGTGCTGCCGCTCAGCACCAGTGACGAGATCACTGAGTCTGGAAAGGTGAGGTCTTTTAAAACATTTCGTTACGTCTGGAAAGGTGAGGTCTTAAACATTTCGTTACATCTGGAAAGGTGAGGTCTTAAACATTTCGCTACGTCTGGAAAGGTGAGGTCTTTTAAAACATTTTGCTACGTCTGGAAAGGTGAGGTCTTTTAAAACATTTCGCTACGTCTGGAAAGGTGAGGTCTCTTAATACATTTCGTTACGTCTGGAAAGGTGAGGTCTCTTAATACATTTCGTTACGTCTGGAAAGGTGAGGTCTCTTAATACATTTCGTTACGTCTGGA